TGTGTTCCGCCCCTGCAGAGCAGGCAGCAGCAGGCACGCCAGCGAAGATGTCGGGTCAGACGCTGACAGATCGCATCGCAGCTGCTCAGTACAGCGTTACGGGATCAGCCGTAGCCAGAGCCGTCTGCAAAGCCACCACGCATGAAGTGATGGGCCCCAAGAAGAAGCACCTGGACTGTGAGCATCCATCCCTGTTTGTATCCCCAGCGAGGACCCGGGGCCGAGGCGGCCGCCCGCGGGGCTCTGCCGTGCCTTTGAGCCGTCGGGCTGTCGCACTTGCTGTAATCCAGCTTGCAAACCTTCAGGGTTATGAGAAATCTCCAGGAGAGGATGAGTTATTGTTGCATTTCTTCTCTTATTGCATAATACTGCTCTTTCGGCCATATTTTTTTCTTTTCCCTCCTGATGACCTCTTGCCTTTTATCCAGGAAGGCAAGTGCGAAGCGTGCCTGGTGGAGCAGGGGCTTGGAAAGAGGGGAGGGAATTTGAAACAGGGCAAAATGGACACAGGCTTGTCACTGCCTCCTTCAGTCAGGATTAAGCTAGCCAGAGACATAAATGCTATGCCAGGAGCTGACCAAGCCCCAGTAGGAGTGTGGCAGCCTCCACAGCAGGCTTCTGTAGAGGTTTAGATGATGCTGTGCTTAAGTGGCAAGGCACTGGGATAACCCTACGCTGTAGATTGGGACAGCCTTTGGAGAATTTAAGGACCATTGTTGTGGTCCCAAATATCTGACAGCAACTTCATGAGCTGTCCAATAGTTTGCATCATGTTTTATTGAAGATGGCTGGTGACTTTGTCTCATAGATTTATGATCTATTCTGGATTGGCATTAGCTAGTTAATGCATGAAACAAGGTTGAAGTCAAAACGTTTCTTAAAAAACAATGAGCTAGTGATGTTTTGTCTTGACAATTTTTTTCTTTTCAACCCACTCAACTGTCAGTCCTTGCTTGGAGACACCAAGGAGTAGAATGATGAAAGAATTTAATTGCTTGATGTTAGTTGGCCTTGTTTACCAGTAGTAACTCTGTCCAACATTGAACTCAGTAGATCAACAGCAGGTTTCGATGTCTAAAATTGTTTTCCCCATTGTTGGAGTTTTTTGTTTGTTTTGGTTTTTTTTTTTTTTTGATGTCTAAAATTGTTTTCCCCATTGTTGGGGTTTTTTGTTTGTTTTTGTTTTTTTTTTTTTTTTTTTTAATGCTAAGAAATACTTTCAAGTAAATATCAGCAGATTTGATACCAAGCAGTCTCTTGGCTGCTGGCCGTTACTAAGTAATGCTGGTGCAGGTGCATGTAAGTACAATTCTGATGATGCTGTATTTCTTAAAAGAAGGAAGTATTACTTCTGGAAAATAATTCCATATTTTAGTTCTTCATACCTAACCCTTAAAATGTCAAGCAGCACATCAGTCTTCCAGTGTATCTAAATACTCTTGTATGTGTGTCTAAGAGATGTTGATGTAAGCAGCATTTATTGAAGACTGACTTGAGTCTAACGTGTTGTTTAAATAGATCAGTGGTCTTGATACCATGTATTCTCTCTTGTTTTCTTGTATATTTTCAAAAATCATCTTGTTTATTCATGTCTCCTATGTTGCTGTTTGGTAACTGTGACACTTCTTGATCTGTAGGTTGTGTCTCGACTGTCCTGCTGTATCTGTGTGTGTGTGTGTGTTTATATACATATATATACACACACACATATACATATATGTGTGTGTGTATATAAACAAAAATAAAAGTACTATCTGGAATAGGCAGGATTAAAGTGAGGTAGAAATAATTTTCCAGTGCTGTATTAAGGTCTGGAAAGGGTCTGTGTTTGAATATTGGTGCTATTATTGCTACTTCAGAAAATGAGTGTAGGAGAGACTGTAGCTGGCAGCATTCCATACAATTTCATACCCACCTGCATGTAAGACACACAAGAGGAAGAGAAATGATCATTTCCTGGGAAGATATTTCCCTGTTCATTTTTCCTTCTTATTTTCCAAGCTGTATATAATAATTGAGAGTTTAACTGTCTGGTTTCATCAGAGACAGAATCTTGTTGGTGAGAGATATGCATGTTCAAAATTGTGGACTATAAATGCAAATCAGGTTTGTATTTTAAAAGAAAAAAAATATTATCAGGCTCTTAAACCTGAGGCATCTCGGAACTATTAATTGATATGCAATTCTTTGAACTCTGATGTATGTCTTGTGAAAAAGTGTTAAAATGGGCTTTATATAATGTAATGAGAGAGTAAATTACAAGTTCATCCTCTGAAAGAGTAATGTTCCCATGCACGCAGGAGGTACCGCTAGGTGAAGGTAGATCTGAACCACGTGACTGACTGCATTTCAAGCTGGATGAATAACATTTGAAGATGTGGAGAAGGGAATGAAAGATAAAATATGCTGGTGCCTTGAGTCAAGGTGCAAAGAATTTGGATGATTAAAACTTCAGGTACCAGACAGCGGTAGTTGGAGTGATGCTTTATGAAGAGCTGTAATTCTAATATGGATGTGGGGATTCTGCGTCCTTAGGGAACTCCATGATTTTATTTAGTGTCTTAGTGGCCAGGTGTCGTATCACAAAACCTATCTTCCATTGCTCGGCTTAGCAGATGGGCTTTGTAAATTAAATAGAGAGATCACCTATTTAACATGAGTTAGGTAGTCCTGTGAGAATGGGACACGGTGATGCCTGTCCTCATATGTTTTTTTACAGAAGATATTAGTTCCAGAGGGTTATAGAAAGATGATGGGTGACAAGGTGAGAGGTGTCTTTTTTTTGTTTGGTTTAGGTTTTTTTTGTGTGTACTACTTAGAGGTAATTTGAGGAATAAAGTGTGATTTGGGTATGAGTGCATGCGTGTGAGGAATGGAGGAAGGAACAGAATGACTGTCTTCTCTGAACAAAAGCTGAGCTGCTAAGTGTTTACCTTTGTGATTTTCTGTACTTGCATAGCTTACAAGTGCGAGCTTTAATATGGATGCTGCACAGTGGCTGTCCTTTGGCATGGACTCTGGGTGCTATGCAGGCTTGTTGTGTAAACAAGTACTGAAGTATGATTAGGTTGCTATCATGTACTTATTAGTAAGATTTATCATTTTCTTGAATTCCAGCTCTCATACTAGTGAGTTTCCAGCACCTGCGTGAAGTCATGCCAGATGGCATTAAATGCATTTCCCAAATCCCTGTAAGGAGAAAAGGAATGTGAATCTACGATGCTCTGATGGTTTGGGGCGAGCCGTTACAGTTGGCACATTAAGAGCTCTGCCCATTTTGGACTTAACAAACCTGTCATCTTGAATCCATCTCATTGTGGTGACTTTAGTTCCCTCAGCTAACCATGTTGTGTTAAAGAAATTACAGTTAGATACAGCAAGTGAGGAAAACATTTCCATGGAGAAGTGGGGATTAGCAACTTGGTTTTGCTGCAGTGGGAAGGACCATTGCAGAATGGGTGGGTGAATGAGTTACACGGACTATGTTAAGGATATATGAGCTATGGTAATTCAACTGGGAGGGCAATCATAGTGCACAGTATAGAAGTTTCGGTATCAGAATTGTTCAGAAAGATAATGTTAAGGCTTCACTGAGGGTTTAATTGTGTGGGGGCAGTAAAAGCCAGTGTCCAGCCTCAACTGGGGATGACTCTGACAGTACCAGCAGGGAGAAGCTTTCGGAGAAGGGAAATAATTTGACTTTCAAATGTTAAAACACACAATAGGTGAGGGAAAAATAGGTAGATCTGAATTCGTCTTCTTTTCTAAAGGTTCTCACTCAGAAACAAACTGTCAAGTTTTCATTTAGGGAAGTGTACTGGAAACCAGTGAGGTTGTTGCATCTGCAGTTACTCATAACAAGTTCCTGTTTCTGAAAATGATCAAAATGGCTGGGGTTTTCCTTGCCTTGTTCTGTTGAGTGAATTGGTTTGCAGCAGGAGGAAGTTCTGGAGCATGTATTCTAAAGGGACCATGTGGTGCCTCCTTACTTCTTCAAAATAATTCTTATAAGGTAGAAGGTCCTTCTGGAGGCCTGATCAAGAGCTGTGAGGTTTTCATGAAATGTGGAAACAAAGCAGATGAAAATCAGGACTTGATTTTTCTGTGGTTGTGGGGATGACCTGTGTATCTGCAGTAACATCTTTCCATCCTAAGTCTAATTTTTCCTATTTTTGTATCTGGGGTGGGCTCTCTGGCTGGCAAACAAAGGCTCTAGAAGGAAATTTATAGTTTAATTTATGCTGGTAACTGAACTGCAGAACTGGTGTCAGTATTTTGCTTGTACAGATACTTTTGTCCCTGCAGTGCTTTAGCTTTCTCCTGCAAACTGTGGGGATGACCTAACAAGTTGGAATCACTGTGGCCTGTAGTGTTGAAACAGAAGTGGCTGTTGACCAAAAGCAATGAGTTAAACTTTTTCCTTAGGCTCAGTAAAGTTGCTGGATCTCACAGGTTAGTCTTAGAAACCTCGATCTCATTCCTGAGGAATATGTCTGAATCTTTTTTTTGGGAGAGATGAGGGTCAGAGGAGCTAGCTTGAGTCACTAGACTTCAGTGACTGTTAAGGTTAACTTGGATGTGTATTTCAGAAGTTTTTTGCTGTTGAAGTGATTTGGGGAGCGTTCCAAGTCTGTTGGCACTTGGGGCCCTTTCCTAGCGGGAGTAGCGCAGAGGTACAAGTACTGCATTGCTCTGCAGTCCAAGTGACGCTTTGTCTTTATGGCCATGGAAGTACCTTCAAGAAAATTGCCAAGCATGGAATCTCTATACAGGCTGGGGTTAATCCTTCACGCTTTGCTTCTGCATGTCTCACTGCATCTTGTGTTGCAGTAATTTGTCACAGTTCCCATGTATGAGAACTGACTTTCTTTAAAAGTTAGCATTGAGGATCAGCTGCAAAACAGTGTCTTGGTTTTTGTTGTTACAGCTGGGGTGTATTCTAAATTGTGAATGCATCCTTGTCACCCCAGTGAATCTCTTTCACAGAATCAGAGTGTTAGGGACTGGAAGGGACTTCGAAAGATTATCTAGTCCAATCCCCCTGCTGGAGCAGGAACCTAAATGAAATCACATAGAAAGGCGTCCAGGTGGGTCTTGAATGTCTCCAGAGAAGGAGACTCCACAACCTCCCTGGGCAGCCTGGTCCAGTGCTTCATCACCCTCACTGTAAAGAAGTT